CCCGCCTCTGTGGATGCTTGAGCACTGACCACACGGGTGCAGTTCCTACGTGAGCACCAAGAGGGCGCAGTTCACAGGCATGAGCTGCGATGGAACCACAGGGTCAGGGTGGCCTCAGGCTGGGCCCTGTGGGCCACTCGGTCCCGACAGGTGGAGGCAGGAAGGATGCAGAGAGAAGTGGCGCTGGAGACACACCCACAGGAGCTGGGCTCAGACCGGGGACTGGCAGATGGTGGAGAGGACGGAGGTCACGTGGACACACGAGCTTAGGTGGAGCCGGCTGAGTGCGGGGAGCTCTCCCCGCACCCGCCACCCCAGTTTCCTCTCCAGCTGCCTGCTCTTGGCTTCCCTGCCTCTGCTACCCACCTATGCCCCCAACGCCTCTGTCCCTTCCCTCTCTCCCCACTACAGTCCTCTCGTCTCCCTCCAGCAGAGTAAGTTCCTTACCCCTCTGGGTAGGCCACGGTCTCCCACTACAGCCCCCATGCTACCCGTGTCCCATCCCCTCCCCTCCAGCCAGTGTCTGAAAGATGCCCGAGGCTCCAGGCACGTCCGAGCCCCACATCCAGGCCACTGGCATCGTGCAGCAGGTGCGGAAACGGCAGTGGACAGCCCCCAGCCCCACAGCACACTGCACCCGTCTGGACAGCTTTGGGCTCTGCGTCCTCGGGAACCGCCAGACCCCAGAGCCAGGATCTGCTCCAAAGGCACCTCTCCCCGCCGCAGGTGAGGCTGCTCCGGTGGCTGAAACGGAGGGCACGCTAGAGCCGTCGCCCACTTAGCTGGCGGCCGGTCACCTGAAGTCTCCGGAGGAAAACATGGGGCTCTCCGGGAGGGAGAATTTTTATTTTCTGGCATAGTATTTTTTCAAAAGGAGTGAATCGTTGGAGAAAACAGGCGACAGCATGGGTGGCCACCAGAGAGGCAGAGAGGATGATCAAAGCCCACCAGGCACGGAGGAAGCAGCCCTGGTGTGGCCCAGAGAACAGTCTAGGTGGCCGCACCTCACAAAAGGCCGCCGGGGGACGGGAGGTGCAGGGTGAGGGGGCCTCGGTCACCGGCATTTGTGGCCCCGCTCCCCAACCCCAGCCCCTCGGCTAACGGTCTTCAGCTGGAACAAACACCTGCTGTCCAAGTGAGCTCCCAGTTCCCTGGGAGGGCCATCCCCTCTCTGCGTGGGAGGTGAGCCTGCCCAAACTGTGACTCCCAGCCTGCTGTCTTCTTCCAAGAAGACGCTGGAATCCCTCCCCCTGGACTCGATCCTTCTGGCGGCCACCCGTCTCGCGGTCCCAGCCCAGGGCGAGCAGCCCGGAACACTCTCTGAGTTTGCTGGCTGACGAATTAGCTCATTAAAGTGTGAGCCACAGGTGACTGAGTGGCAGCGAGTCCACTAGGTCAGGCACAGGGCCGAGGGTCCCCATAGTTTCCAAATAAGCGCGCTCTATCAAATTTCCCCGTAGAGCCCTAGCTCAGGCTCCCAGTTTCGGAAAACCAGGATGCCGAAGACCAAAGAGGGGACGCGACTTGACCAGAGCAACAATCGCCCCTAGTGGCCAAGCCTGGGCAAGACCCCAGTCTCCAGAGCCCACTCAGCCCAGTGGTCCCCCACTGCACAGGTGTCCTCCCAACATGTCAGCTGGGAAAGAGGTGGGGTTTCAACAGCCCGTGGAGTTCCTAGAGCCCTCAACCCACTTGAGGCTAGTCAGACCTACTGCCTTCTAGAATGTTCTTTCAAAAAGCTTTTCACCCATGTTCTGTAGAAACTGGGGAAATCCCCAAGGCAATAGGGCATAATTTTAGGAGCAGCGCTGAATGGAGAGGTTTAGGACCCAGTTCTCTTCTCCCTTCCAGTTTTCTGGAGAAGCCACGAAAAGCCTGCATTTCCACGCAGGCCAGCTGGCTTAGCCCTTATATGATGTGCCGGGTCTTCCCTTCTCTTGGTCAATACTGTGGCTACTCGGGAATGACCCAAGGATCTGCTTCACCCACGTTCTTCTCTAGGCAAATTTGAGGGACGATAATAAAAGAGAGAACTCTACTCACTCCTCTCCCCACAAGATCAGGCAGGGAGAGACCACAGTGCTGAAGACCCCAAGATGCAAGTCACGGAACATCCGTCTACATTACCTGCTGCCCCACAGCTGCCACTGCCCTCCCCCACCAAGGAGCTGGCTCTCCACCTGTAGGACACAGAGCAGGGGCGTCACAGCCTAGAACAGCCAAGCCCTCTGCTTGGCCAACACACTTCCAGGAGCCAAGACAGTTGGCAGAGACCTTTTGGGTCCTCCCAAGAGTCCCCTCCCACATCTTACCTGATGAGGTCAATAGGTTGAAAGTTATAAAACACCCCATAGCGTGCCCATTCTTGATACAGCAGCTAAACAAAAAGAAACAGGGAACCAGATTAGGGGTAAAGCAGGCAACTATTCACCTTTTCTTATTCAGCTTAGCAAGTTAACATTTGACACACACCCCTCCCCGCCAAAGCCATCCTGGCAAGTCAAAACTGAATCCCCAAAGCCACGCTTCCAGGAGAATTCTCATGAGATATCCACAGGGAGACTCCAAAGGCAGGAGAATGTAGAGCCTGACTTCTCTTCCCCAAATAATAAAGGTGACCTTCATCACACTCTGGGTGCGCTGCACCTACCAAGCAAAACCCCTCGCTCTTCACTCCCTCGCCTTGCTGAGTCCAGCCAGATGAGCCCTGGCGTTCATTTATTCACTCGTTTAATAAGTACTGGCTGAATATCCGCCTTGTGCCAGGCCCTGTCCAGACACTGGATAAAGCAGTAAACCAGACAAAGTCCCTGCCATCATGGGGCTTTTACCCCTTGTGCGCAGAGACAAATATTAACTTATAACTGCCACGGAGAAAAATAGATCAAGGTAGGGAGTAGACTATGAAGAGGGGGGTAGGGTGCTATTTTAGACAGGGTGACAAGGGAACACCATTTACAATAGCCAAGACACGGAAACAACCTAAATATCCATCGACAGAGCAATGGATAAAGAAGATGTGGTACGTATATACAATGGGACATTACTCAGCCATATAGAAGAACAAAAGAATGCCATTTTGCAGGGACATGGATGGACCTAGAGATTGTCACACTGAGTGAAGTAAGTCAGACAGAGAAAGACTAATATCATATGATATCACTCATATGTGGAATCTAAAAAGATAGTACAAATGAACTCATTTACAAAATAGAAATAGAGTCACAGATGTAGAAAGCAAACTTACGGTTACCAAGGGGGAAAGTGGGGAGGGATAAACTGGGAGGCTGGGATTGACATATACACACTACTACATATAAAACAGATGACTAATAAGGACCCACGGTATAGCACAGGGAATTCTACTCAATACTCTGTAATGACCTATACGGGAAAAGAATCTAACCAAGAGTGGATATGTGTACATGTGTAACAGATTCACTTTGCTGTACACCTGAAACTAACACAACATTGTAAATCAACTGGACTCCAATAAAATTTTTTAAAAGATAAAAAATAAAATAAAATAACAAAATAAGTTAATTTAAAAAATAATTATTGATAAGTATTAAAAAAAAAAAAAAGAAAAGGATGGCAAGGGAGGGCCTCTCTGAGGAGGTGACATTTGGGCTGAGACCTGAAGGAAGTAGGAGGTTATGTTTCAGCTAGAAGAACACTCCTTCTGTGCCAAGGCCTAGAGGAAAGGGCATGTCCCAGGATGAAGAGGGAAGCCGGAAGGCTGGCGCTGAGCAAGGGGAGAATCTTGGGACATAACCCCAGTTAGAAGGGACTGGGGGGGCTTCCCTGGTGGCGCAGTGGTTGAGAGTCCGCCCGCCGATGCGGGGGACGCGGGTTCGTGCCCCGGTCCGGAAAGATCCCACATGCCGAGGATCCCGCGTGCCGCGGGGCGGCTGGGCCCGTGAGCCATGGCCGCTGAGCCTGCGCGTCCGGAGCCTGTGCTCCGCAACGGGAGAGGCCACAGCAGCGAGAGGCCCGCGGACCGCAAAAAAAAAAAAAAAAAAAGAAAAAGCCTGGAGTTCAAAGGAGAGCCCAGAGTCAGAGAAGACATGATTTGTAAAGTCATCAAGTTACGGATGCAACTGTCAGAGAGAGAGGTAGCGAAGAGGCGTGACGCCGGGGCCCCGGGTGCTCCACCGTTCAGAGGTCAAGGGGATGATGAAGAACAGCAGAAGCACCAGAGGAACAATGGTGACATGGCACCGAACTGGAAGTGGGTGGTGTCCTGGAGGCCAAGGGACCACGGGATTCCAAGGGAAGAAGGTGAGCATCTGGGTCAAATACGGCTGATGGGTCAGGCTGAAGGAGAACCAAGAAGTGACCTTGGACCCAGCGACCCATGGGTGACCTTGACAAGAGTGGCTCCAGATGGGCCAGATGGACACAGCAGAGGAGATCACCAGGCAACCCCCGGAAGAGCTGGAGCTCCAGGGCGTCAAACCTGGGAGGTGATGCAACGACGCCTGCACACCGCCCATGTGGCTCTGCCAGGCCGCCTCGCACAGCTCTGCAGGGGAGGGAGGGTGCTGTAGACCCTTCCCTGTCTCTACAAATGTTTAATCACACAGTGCGAGACCAGGTGGATCGGGCTAAGCCCCGGGTTACAGGGTCCTGGGAGAGACCAGCAGTCAACAGGGATGAGCCTGTGTGCGTCAAGTGCAAGAGGACAACCAGGGTAACCTGCAACAGTCCCTTTAAACCTGCAGAGTCTAGAACTTTCTAAGGAGCTCCTAGCAAATACACTCTCTCCCTCAGAGTTATGCCACGTCCTCTTCACCTACCGGCCAAGCCTGAGAACAGAGGCAGGAGGCTCTGCAGCTCCTTCTCACAGAGTCTTATTTCAGAGGCCTCGGATGTAATTCCAAGCATGTGGGTCTGACCCCCAACCTTTAGGGCAGGAAGCAACAAGGGGACCACACCATCTGATGGATCAGAGCACACAGGAGGCCAGGTCGGCTTCCTAGGGTCACATCGGTCAGTTGGCTTAAGTATTTCATGGGACTATAAAGAACCCAACCGCTAAAACCATCTGCCATGCCAGAGAGCGGCAAGATGCACGAGACTCGGGGCCCTCCCTGAGGCCACAAGCGCCTCAGAGAGCAGCTGGACCTGGGACAGACAGAAAGACGCCAGCTGTAGCCGGCTCAAAGGCATTGATGGGACAGGGTGGACCAGGATGGGAGAGGATGGAATTCTACCTCCGGATCCTGCAATGACCTGTTGGATTTTTTGGCAGGTCATTTCCGCATTAGTAAAATGGGAGTCGTGCAGGATGGGAAAACTAGTCCTCAAGTGAAACCAAGAAGAAAGGTACCTTTCCCGTCAGAAAGACAAGACTGACTTTTTAACTGCCCACTAGAGGAGATAATCATCTGCAAAAGCTGGAAAATTCAGGACCAAGGGTTTAGAAACTGCTAAAGTTTCTCAAGTTTAAGATGAGTATCTTCCAGGTTGCGCTTTGGGGTCCCTCTAAGTGGGCAGGGAAGCCACGGGGAGCTGGTGGCACTCAGTCAGCCCCGGGGAAGATGGTGACAGTCCCTCCCCTGGGATGCCTGAGAAAAGCAGGTAAGTCTGGCGGATGTGGAATGAGGTGGCTGCTGGAAGTGCGAGGGGCCCATCCACACCCTTGCAGCCCAGCTCTCTAGAAAGGCAAGAAAGCCCTGCTCTCCAGAGGGAGGGAGCCTCTCGTGAATTACCCTCCGGGAGGGGGCTGAGTCATCGAGACTGCAGGCTGCACTAGGCGAGCTGCAGGGAAGGAGATCGCTCTCCGCCTATGAGGCACATCCCCGGAAGAGCCACGAATCGCAGGGAAGGAGGAGGCGAGCCCCAGGTACGGGCAGGATGTGGGCGGATCACCCCTAAAGGCCCCCCGAGGGGCGATCTCCCATCAGTTCTCAACCCTTCTCCACCTCCTCCAGCACCAAATTCAAGGGTTCTCCCTCGCACCCAACCAAAATCCTTCCCGCAGCCCTCTGGAAGGACACTAGACTCTTACAATGTAACACGTACGAATAAATGTGCTGCGCATATTCAGAGATTTCGGCTGGTTCTTTCAAGATACCTTTAGGTCCCACCTATATGCCTCTGAAGCTCTAGGAAGGAAGCCAGCACGGCAGCGAGAGGTCCCCTTGCCATACACGAAAGACCGTGTCCACCTGGTGGTGGCACTGGCTGGAGTTTGGACACCAGGGCTTTAGTCCTGACGGGACAATCATTTCAGGGACGTCGGAACCGGTCTCCTTGCCGTGCTGGGTATCCGTTTCCCAAGCCAAATGGACAGAAAAAAGCTTTCACTCTCTCTCCTGGTTTCTCTCATTTCCCATCACAGAAAACGTTACTTCCCTAACCATGACCCCCGTACAGGAAAACAAGGAGGCCAGGACTGGCTGGCGAACCCAAGGAAAAGCCACAAGAAATGGGTTGCTTGTCTTCCAAAGACACTTGTCCACCTTCACCGAGCCACCACCAAGATGCAGCTCTGTCCTGGCTGGTCTCTCTCTGCCTGCCAGATTCTACCCATTCCATCCTTTGGGGTGTGCACTGGGAGGAGGCAGCACTGCCTAAGCAAAACAATTCCTGGGAGGGAAACGTTTTTTTAAAAGGTTTTATTGTTAACGATAATATAGTATCATTCCAGGCAAAGGTACATACATTTTGGATAGTCCACAATTTGCTTCTCTCTGCCTCTGTGCAGGTAACCGGGGGCTGGCTGATTTTTTCCCAGGAGTACTGTGTGTTCCTGATCTCTGGAATGTTCCTGTAAAGTGTTCTACCTTGAGGGGCTGAGGGTCACCACCCACCCAGCAGGAGGTCTCTTCGGTGGGCAGTAGGTGGTGATCACTCTTTAAAGGGGAGTAATGTGACAAGAAAAAGTAGGAGGACAGAAAATGGCTGGGGCCAGGGAGGTGAGATGTGGGGAGAAAGGCTTCCTCCTTTTCCTTTAAATCTGATCCGGGACTTTTCAGGAAATTAAACACCACTGAGACTATTAGCATCAGATAGAAAACAGATGAGGTTAAAACATGGAAAAACTACAGCAGATTCCCTGGGCAGGCAGAGCAGGGGACATATGTAAGCAATCACAGCAGTATTTCTGGAAAAGACCTTTTTATGTTTTTAATACTTAACACTTCATAACAGGGACTAATAGGCTGGATAAAAAGAAGGCTGCTCAAAAGCAACTTGGGGGATGAATGATTTTCCAGACAGCAGAGTCGGGGCGGGGAGAGGGGGTACACGGGCTTCTATTCCTCATCCCGCCCACGCTCGCCCATCCTCGCCCACCCTCTCTGTTCACCAGAGTCGCTGAAGGCTGGGGAACCTGGGTGGGAGGATGGCAGGAGGGCGATGGCCAGACGGGCAGCCCCCACTGAAGAGGCTGGGTGATGCTCAGAGCATCGTGCCGTGGTGGGAAGGGTGGTACCCATGCTCCTAGAGTACCAGAAAACAGAAGAAACGGCAACTAGATGGAGGGCTGGGGACAAGAGCTGTCCAGGCAGGAGCTGTGACCGGCATAGGGGGGATCCTCCAAAGGGACCCTTTTCCCTCCCTTAAATATAACCTATTTCTTAGCAGCCCGGAATATGCAGGTTTCTCATCTATCATTTGGGAATGGCTGTACCCTACCTGTCTGTCTCGACAGAGAGGATAAGAATAACTTAAGGGCGACCCTCCCCAAACAAGCCATAACGGCATAGATACTGGTAAAATTTTAGCAGGAACACTAGATTTGAGGGTCAGAGGGGCAGTAGCCCCTTCTCTGTTTATGGTAGCAGTGTTATCATGGGCAAGGTGCACAATTGTGCTGTGCCTCAGTTTCCCCATCTATCAGTGAAGGGATTTGGATGCTCAGTGTTTCTCAGCCAAAGCTCTCTTGTCATCAGGGGCAGGGATATTTGCCTCTGTGTATGACTGTGGGATGTATCTCAGGGCGGCTGGCATCACCGGTCCACCAGGCACTAAATGCCAACAGCACCCCCATACACAGTCACGTCAACGACCAGAAATGCCCTCACATTTCCAAACGCCTGGGGACAGGGAGCTGCGGAAGAACAGCTGGAAATAGATAAGCAGCAAATAGAAAACCCAGGACACGTCTACGCAGCCCCCCACCCCTGCGTGGTCCTCGAGCGCAGCCATCAGGCTGGCTTACCTTTCTGTCATTCACGTCATCCCCTGGACTATCATATTCACCCTGTAGGAGGAGAAAGCCAATGGAATGATCAAAAACAGAGAAAGCGTTTTCTTTTAAATTTTCTAACGTTATCCCTTTCTTTCATTCCCACTTAAGGAAGGTGAAGAGCACGACACGTAAGGAGACGCCGGTCCGCTTCCTTGGTCACCAGCACCTGCTGTGTTTCCTGTGGGCAGCTTCCCACCCAGGGCGGCTCCCCTTACAGGCCTCAGAGACCCCCCCCCCCGCACCTCCTCACAGCAAATCCAACAGCAGAGCCCGACCTGGAAACAGACTAGCACATCAGGAAAACCCCCCTGCGCCCTGGCCATACCCGGCAGAACCTCAGTTCGCGTGTGCCCACACCAAGCATGCTGGCGAGGAGCAAAGGTCACCTGGGAAATTCCTGCGGGCACTCAGGGGTCCCCACCCCAGGGGTCTCATTTGGTACCACTGTGGGGTAGACGCTAAAGCGACCGATGGGGTGGACAGGGCAGCCTGGGGGCACCGAGTTCACGGGCCAGTTCAGTTCCTCACGAATCATCTTGAAGAATACCACTGCATTATGTTATAGGATGTTTATAACGTTACTCGCAGCCAAGAAAAGCTTTAATTACAGTCTCTCTGTTTTCTTAACCAAACAACAGTATAAGGGATTTTGAGAGACATCTTTAAAGCATGTCAAGATAGAAAAAAGATCTGACACTTAATACATCCTCGCATAGGATGAGGAATTTCACATCCACACAAAGCTATGACGTATAAAATATCACTTTCAGTCATTTGAGGGCCTGGCGGTCCAGCCTGCGTTATTATCCAGGTCTGGGACTTGCGCTCCCCGCTATCCACCCACCTTCCCCATCTCCCTTTAACCCTCCACACGCCGTTATCTGTCTTCTCACACTTTCCCCAAAATCAAGGCAGGGAGTGCGGGGAAGCCCAGACAAAAACCAATTCGTTCTGCCATCAGGGAAAAAACGGAAACCGTTTGAGACAACTGGCAAAAATCAACTGGGGATTATTTTCATTCACAAGTGGTCCGGAGCCAGCCCAGGTGGTTCAGCATCGTCATTCCCTCCTGCCTCCCCGCCCTATATCCACCACCATGTCGCCTGCAGTGTTCACCCTGCTGACTGATGGAGGCGGTACTCACGTCGTGCAGCGGGTAGGCAGCCTCGTAGATATTATTTGCTATCAGAGACTTAATACCTGCAGAAGAAGGAAGATGAAAACGGTAACTGTAGGGCAGAGGTTCCTCAACTTGACCTTGGTCTTCTGATAAATACTAATTCCCCCAGCCCCACCTCTCAGCTGAGAACCCCTAACCCCTCCGGATCCTCCCAGTCGAGAAGTTCCTTTCGGGCTTGACTTCTCAGCATTAAGAACAATATTTTTTCATTTCCCAAATGCAAAGTTATGATTAAATAGCAGATACGCTCTCTCAAACGTCACGTCCGTCCTGTCCTCGTACACTCAGATCCCTCTGGTCTCGGAACCCTCACCACCACCGCCTCCATGGCCACAGCCGTGCGCTGAGAATATCTGTGTTCAGTGACCGGCATAGGAATGACCACAAGGATTACTGTAATTACAATCAATAAACATGTCCATCAGAGCATCCCACCGCACTTCATCTGAACTCATTTCCGGCCCCTCCCTATTCCTTCACAAGGCAGCGTGCATTATGGTCCACGACTGACCTGCCTGGACCCTTAGATCCCTAGGGCAGTGTGACCTGGGGAACCCCGGGTGTCCCCATGACCCTTTCAGGGGGTTCATAAGGTCAGACTACTTTTGTAGTAGTGCTAAGACACTGTTTGCTTTTATACTCCTATTCCCTCACGAGTCTACAGCGGAGTTTTGTGACCTGTGATGACATCATCCCCGGACAGCTAATGGAATGTGGGCTTGCGTATCCTTGTGCTTTAAACTTTTCTCAATTTTAACTTCAAATATAATAAATATTGATCAGTATAACGCACCTAGATGAAAGCCCTGTAGGCGCTCTCGATAATTTTTCAAAGTGTAAAGAGGTCCTGAGACCACAAAGTTGGAACACCGCGTAACAGGGGATCCATTTTTTTTTTTTTTTAATCCCGACAGTATTCCACAGCACTGGGCACACACACAGCAGACCCTACTAAACAGATGTTACGTGAAGGAGTGGCTCCAGCCCTGTAACTCCAATGTACTCACCACAGAGAAGCTCCTGTTCAGCACAGAGCCACTAATATTCCCTCATTTCATTCATGTTTGGATTCAGAGACTATAACATGCCCTGTATGTTCTGTCACTCAGGACAGTCTGCCCTGGGTTGCTGGCTCCCAGATGGAAGGGATCATATCTCATCAGCTCGAGGACCCTGCCTGCGGGGATGCACATTCAGTGGGGGGCAGTGGGGCGGCAGGGGGCGGGGTCTCTGATACACAATGACTTCCCTTGTCTCAAGCACGCGTTCTGCCCTGAACCATTCTTTCCGGAGACGCTGTAGACAGTAGTGTGAAGAGGAGAAATTCGATTTGGGAGGGAAACACCCATGGCGTCCAAATGCTAAGTAATCTGCATTTGCAAACGAATCTGGAGAGACGGGCCAGGCTAGATGACAGTGACTCGTTAAATTCATGGTTTTCCACCTCCCGCACCCAGTCAGTGCTCGGAGCCTCAGAGGTTCTCAAACAATCCTCCTCCCTCCAACAGCCTCCTCTTCCTCAAATCATGCCCCTATTCCCCTGGGATGCCAGAACGGCTGGCCAGGGGCCCACGTGGGAGCAGAGGCCCTCAGGAGGCTGCAGGGGCGCCTGGCAGAAGCGGCCACTCTTCCAGTGAGTTGGGAGCTGAGATTTCAGGGCTGCGGCGTCACCCAAGGGCTAGTCCTTTCCAGATTTTACGTCTCCTCCTCGGCATGCAGAGAAAGCATCAGAAATAACTGGGGGGGTGGAGGGGGGATGGA